AAAAACAACAACAGTAAAAAGAGCCACGAGCGTAAAATAATAAACATAATTGCGTACACAAGAAAGAGAAGAAAAAAAATCCCTTAAGGGAAAAAATAAACCATTACTTGTGCCTTTCTTGCCCGTACTGCCGTCGCGTTCTCTCGTCTTCCTCTTTTTGTTAACCTTATTCCTTTACTGCCCTTTTCTCTATCTCTATCTCTATCTCTTTCTCTTTCTCTTTCTCTTTCTCTTCCTTTCTCTCTCTCTCTCTCTCTCTCTCTCTCTCTCTCTCTCTTCTCTCTTTCTCTCTCTCTCTCCTCTCTTCTCTCCTCTCTCTCTCATTCTCCCTCTCTCCCTCTCTCCCTCTCTCCCTCTCTCCCTCTGCCTCCTCCTCTCCCTCTCTCCCTCTCTCCCTCTCTCCCTCTCTCCCCTCCCTCCCTCCCCTCCCTCCCTCCCTCCCTCCCTCCCCTCCCTCCCTCCCTCGCCTCCCTCCTCCCTCCCCTCCCCTCCCTCCCTTCTCTCTCTCTGTCCGTCATCATTGGCATGTCTGTCTGTCTCTCTCGCTCTCGCTCTCTCTCTTTCTCCCTCTCCCTCTCCCTCTCCCTCTCCCTCTCCCCTCTCCCTCTCTCCCTCCCCCCTCCCTCCCTCCCTCCCCCTCCCTCTCTTCTCTTCTCTGTCCGTTCATCATTGGCATGTCTGTCTGTCTCTCTCGCTCTCGCTCTCTCTCTTCTCTTCTCCCTCTCCCTCTCCCTCTCCCTCTCCCTCTCCCTCTCTCTCTTTCTCTCCCTCTCCCTCTCCCTCTCCCTCTCCCTCTCCCTCTCCCTTCTCCCTTCTCCCTTCTCCCTCTCCCTCCCTCTCTCTCTCTCTCTCTCTCTCTCTCTCTCTCTCTCTCTCTCTCTCTCTCTCTCTCTCTCTTCTCTCTCTCTCTCTCTCTCTCTCTCTCTCTCTCTCTCATCCTCTAGGCGTTTTTTTCGCTCACCGCTTCGTTATCATATTTCTCCTTAACATTCTCTCCCCCTCCTTCCCACCCTCCCTCTCTCTTACCCCTCTTTCTGGCCTTAAGGGAAGCTGGAAGGTAAACATAAGCAAGACTGAAATGAAAAAAATACTAATAGCGTCCTTAGTATTTCATGGTAACTTTCCAATAATAATTATGTAGAAGGAGTAAGTTTAGTGCAGTATCCCCTATAATTGGCGCGTGGTGCCGAGAACACGTTTTCTGTACTGCCTGCTATAAATCACAAACTAAAGGAAAAGACCTTTAAAATACCCGTAAATTGTACTTCTAAAGTACATACATTCTTGTATGAAGATAACAAAAATAAGATTTTGATAAACGACCGATAAACGAGAAATGTATGAGAAAAAATGAGAAGTGCTGATAACAAAGGGTTAAGAGCCGCGAGTATACATATGCCCTGAGGCTGTAGCTACAGGGCTTGCTTAATAACAGGTACATAACTTTATGAAGATGTAGTGGCATGCGATGATGACTTCTCAAATGCAAGCACACGTGCATACACACACGCACGCAAGCACGAATGAGCTACCCACAAAAATACACACGCAAGTATATGCATATGAATACGTTTTCTTTTTTTTACCAACTGTGAGAAGAGGAAGATAGAAGGGCGGAAATTCGGTAGGAAAAGAGGGAAGGAGGTAGCGAGGAAGAGAAGTAAGGAGGGAAGTTGAGAAGCAGGAAAGGGGAGGAAAGGAGAAAGAGAGAATGGGAAAACAGAGACAGGGGAGGGAGAGAAGAAAGGGGGAAGGGATGAAGAGAAGGAGCACATGAGGGAGGTAGGGAGGGAGAGAAGGGAGAGTGAGTGAGTTGAGTGAGTGAGTGAAGTGAGTGAGTGAGTGAGTGAGTGAGTGAGTGAGTGAGAGAGAGAGAGAGAGAGAGAGAGAGAGAGAGAGAGAGAGAGAGAGAGAGAGAGAGAGAGAGAGAGAGAGAGAGAGAGAGAGAGAGAGAGAAGAAGGAGAGAGAAGAGAGGATAGACAGACAGAAAGACACATAAAAAAAAAAGATAAAACCAAACAAGGAAACACACCCCACCAAACACCCAACCCACCCACCAACTCACACATAACACACAACACACACGCACAACACAATCCCGCAGCTGAATCCACCCCGCGGAATCCCCGCCAACTCACACGGGAGCTTCTACACTACAACCCCACGCCATAAATACCAAAATACCAAACCCCGTCTATAATTTTCGCCTTGTCTTTCCACGAGTGCGCAGACGGGGTTAAGCCACGGGTGGGACAGACACACAGGACAGACAGAGGCAGACACACCTCGGGGCGTTATGGCATTAGAACACTCATTCTTTAACTACACCTCGAGGGTACACACTACAATGACACTACAGTACAGGGAAGCGCACCTTTTACGTTGTGTGTACAGGTGCCTCGGGGCAGTGTGTTTGCTCGGGCTGAGGTACGCGCGTCCGTTGCGTTTAGTGATGTGGCTGTTATCTTTATTGCGATATGTTCATCGTTATACTCTGTTATTATAGGCCTATCAATCCATATGATCTTATTTTGTTATTATTCTTGTTGTTATCATTATTTCTATTCTTGCTTTCGTCATAATTGATGTTGGCATTGGGAGAATTAATGGTTGTTATATTTTAATTGCCATTATTATTGCCAATGATCTAATCATGGATTGGTCAGAAATAACTAGGATAGCATTTTACTTTAGAAGAATTAATAAAACTGGATCCCTTGAAATGCTGACTAAGCCTTTAATATGAAGAAACAAAGGTGTAAAAAATAGATAATTATAATTGGGAAAAAGTAACAACAGTGAACGCAAGGACTCAGCCTACATACGTTAACAACACAACTTTTTTTTTTTTAATATATAGGCTTATTACTATATATTATTTTCTGTATCTTTTTTTTCTCTATTCCAGATAGTCCTACACTAATTGTTACTTTGTGGTTTCGTTTAAACTGGAGCAGGCATTGGGTGTTATCTTCGGCATACTTACCTGTGTATGCCTTTTCTTGTAGCTCTGGCCACATGCTCTTACCTGCGCCATAAAGTTGGGGAGGAAACGCGAGTTTTGAAAGTGCATTTTTCTTGGTTGATATATTCGGGTGTTTGTTTTGTTCTTCGGTGTTGGTGTGTCGATGCGTGTTCGTGCATTGCGCGCCGCGCGCGCGCGCGTGTGTGTGTTTCTCTGCATTTCTATGAGCATTCTTCTTCGTGTGTGTGTGTGTGTGTGTGTGTGTGTGTGTGTGTGTGTGTGTGTGTGTGTGTGTGTGTGTGTGTGTGTGTGTGTGTGTTGTGTGTGTGTGTGTGTGTGTGCGTGTGCGTGTGCGTGTGCGTGTGTGTGTGCATTTCCATGAGTGTGTGTGTGTGTGTGTGTGTGTGTGTGTGTGTGTGTGTGTGTGTGTGTGTGTGTGTGTGTGTGTGTGTGTGTGTGTGTGTCGTGCCGTGCGTGTGTGTTTCTCATGTTCTTTGCGCATTTTTTCTTCGTGTTTTGAATAATTACTTTGTACGTACAGGAAAAGTGTATTGAGTATACATTTTCCTTCTTAGACAAAGAAAACGTTGAAATGCCAAAATAATAAAAAAAAAAAAAGAGCGATAAAAAAGCGCACAAACATATACGACCCTTACAACATCCATATAACACATACCCTAAAATAAAATAAAAACTCTACACGAAAAATGGTGAACTATAAAAAGGAAAATCACATAAATTCTCACTCGAAAGTAGCACAACCCTAACCCAACAAACCGCCCCCTTAAATAACCCCATATAAGAACATAAAAAATTATTATCCTCATCAAGAGATATTCTTAAATCAAAGAATACCTCCCTTTTAACCTCCATTCCTACGTTCTCTTTTAAGAAGAAAGTTTCCATAGGCCTACATTGTCCCCGAGGGGTTACACTGCGCCCAAGCAAAGGGAAAGGGTTAGCATAGGCCTATACTCGACAGGACCTGCAGCCACGAGGGATTAAGACCTACAATTATTAAGGGTCGTGCGAGGGCTCTTGCGCCACTAACGCAGCCCCGAAGACATGAGCTTGAATTTTTTTAGGTCCTTAATTGTGGAGAGACTGTAAAAGGTGCTAGGAAGAGTGGCGTGTGGGGAGGGTGGGGTGGGGGGTGGGGGTGAAAGGGTTTAAAAAGCGGCAGGGACACAGGGAGAGATAAATGATTAGATGTGTAGATATGGAGATGCAGATGGAATGGGAGAAAGGAAGAGGTTCATAAACTGATGGGGAGGGAGAGGGAAAGGAGGGGGCGAAGGGGGGGGAGGGAGAGGAGGAGAGGGAGAGGGAGAGGGAGGGAGAGGGAGAGGGAGAGGGAGAGGGAGAGAGAGGAGAGAGAGAGAGAGAGAGAGAGAGAGAGGAGAGAGAGAGAGGAGAGGGAGGGAGGGAGGAGAGAGAGAGAGAGAGAGAGAGAGAGAGAGAGAGAGAGAGAGAGAGAGAGAGAGAGAGAGAGAGAGAGAGGGAGAGAGGGAGGGAGAGGCAAAGAAAAGATCAGAGAGAGATTGTCCTACTTTTGAGAGAATCTATTTCATTTCAAGCCTCATAGCTATCACACAGGGAAGAATACACGAAGAAAAAAGAAGGCTCATACTACGATACAAACCTTCCATAAGTAACCGACGGACACCATCACCAGAAATCGCAATAAAAGAAAAAGAATTCAGAACAGACTTAATTACTTAGCGAAAAGAAAAGCACGACCTTAAGAGAGGAAATGGCCTCACCTGAGAGGGACGAGTCGGCTTCGCTCCGCTCGCTCGCCAGGCTGTACGAGTGCTCCACCTTGACCGTCGGCGTCTCCTGCTGCTGCGCCGCCAGGATGGTGCTGATGGAGCCGAGGGTGCTGAGGGAGCCCAGGGAACTCAGCTGCGAGATCACGCCCAGCGAAGCCTCGGTCATGAGCCGGTCGTTGAGGACGACTCCGTTCGCCCCGCCCATGCCGCTACTCTCGAGCACTCCGGCCCAGTCCGTCTCGCTCGCAGCTCGCAAGGCCTCCTGCAACGAACGAACGGGTCAGTTCAGTCAGTGAGTCAGCCGGCCGTGTGAGTCAGTCCAAATATGTGCTCTTTTTTCTCTCGTTATGAGAGCGAGAGACTTGCTGACAGCGATATTCAGAAATGAGATCCACGCTCGGGGATTTCAGAAATGTAAAAAAAAAAAACATTATACATAATATACGAGATTAAGCTATTAAAAGTGCAACTAATGCGACCTTCCGAAATGTGTGTGAACTGGTACTGTTGTTGTGACGACATATGATTGCCCATAAAGACCAATTTAAAGTATTTTTTCTATACACCGCCCGCCCTTTTCGCTGAGTCTCACACCTGCACTAGAGGCCCGAGTCACACCTGCGCTTGGGAACACCTGTTGTCGTCCCTACACCTTCAAATTCAAGACGAATTCTCTCGAAGAAAAGCTGAAGGCTTGACCCACATTTATTCAAACACTTATTTATTTTTAGTAGGATATACTGCATGTAAATATATTCATACTAAGTTTTGAGCTAAGAGTATGAGGACAATTTTCCTGTAGAGGAATATCGGGTACTGAGGACGTGCATGTATGTATTTATGTTTGTATATATGCATGTATGTCTGTATGCATGTGTATATATGTATATATGTGCACACACACACACACACACACACACACACACACACACACACACACACACACACACACACACACACACACACACACACACACGTGAGCTATACATATACAGCATAATTAAAGTAACCGCATGAAAACAGCTCATTATAAAGTCAAAATCAATACTTATTTTAATAAACCTCTAATCCCATGCATTCTGAAATTACATATTTCCTAATACGTAATAATAAGGCTCTAATCAAACCTTGAAATCGAGTTGCAATATCAATAATACATGGACATAAACATAATTTTGTTAGTACACAAATTGCACACACACACAGAGCAGATGACGTGGGTGAAGAACAATATATATACACGTTTATAAACACACACACACACACACACACACACACACACACACACACACACACACACACACACACACACACACACACACACACAACACACACACACACACACACACACACACACACACACACATACATACTATATACATATATATATATATATACATATATATATATATATATATATATATATATATATATATATATATATATATATATATATATACATTTATACGTGTTTGCGTGTGTGTCACATATGTGGAAAGTGTCCTTGTCCAATGAACACGTGTTTATCAGTATGTCGCGCTTCCCATGCGAAAGTAAAGATAGCGAACTACTGACGTAAAGCAGCAGCAACAGACATAATGATGACAAAATAATGTAATCAATAAACAAGAAAAAGAAAAAATCGCAAAAATTAATAACAAAAATAATAACAATAGTAATAATAATAATAATGATAGATAATAAAAATCTGAACAATAATAACAATGATAACGATAATAACAATAAAAAATAATACAAGAACAAGAACAAGAACAATAATAATGATAATGATGACAATAATAATGAATAATAATAATAACAATAATAATAATAATCACGAGCCTGGTTATTTTGATGATTGTTCCCGTAATGAAGGTTTTAAGGTGCGACTATCCAATTTTATTTGTTTTTATCTTTGTTGCTGCAAATTTGTTGGTTGGCTTGGAAGAATATATTTGCATAGAGAAAACAAATCTGTCACTCTGCAAATAATGGTAAAATAAAGTAATTTCCTTAAAATATTGTTGTCAGCTTGTGCAAATGTTTATAAGCATTGAAAAAAGTATCTTCATATATCAATTAAAGATACAGAAAAAAATACCCCATCATCATCTCTCCGAAGACATTTACGTAAATCACAAATTGGAAAAAAAAAAAAAAAAAAAATCTGAAGAATCCTCCCCCCTCCCTAACCCCCCACCCCCTACCCCCCTTAAAAAAGAAAGAAAAAAAATCTGAAAAATCATTCAATTACTTTTACTTCCGAGACCGTCTTCTTCTTCCTTGGCCTCGAAGCGGAGTTCAATAATGACTGTAATTGAATACACAGTGAATACAATGGACAGAAAGCCCTTTGACCATTTCCTGTTTCCCTCGTTGAGAAATCAGTCAAAGAAAACGAAAAAACAAATCAGAAATTTCGATAAAATTATATATATATATATATATATATATATATATATATATATATATATATATATATATATATATATCGTGTTATTCTTCGTTGCATTTCATCTCAAGTCGCCATATTTCCTTCGCTTCTGAGCTATTTTTCATTGAGTGTTTGTTTCTTATCATTGTTTTTTTCTTTATTGTCACTATCTGCATTTTTATCAACCAACACATTTTCACTTTCCCTCAACACCCTCGCGCTTATTCTCTAATATACTCACTAACTAGTTTATTCTCTAACTCACTCTCTCTCTGTTTGTCTGTCAATCTGTCTGTCTGTCTGTCTGTCTGTCTGTCTCTCTGCCTGTCTGCTGTCGCTCTCTCTCTCCCTCTTCCTCTCCCTCTCTCTCCACTCTCCACAAATCCTTCTATTCCTCCTTTCCACCTCCCACCGGAACAGCCATTCACCCGCCCACTGCAGCCATCCAACCGTAAAATCAGCTGTTCCACCGAACAACCAACTCGACAGTCAGCCCACAATGCCCCGAGCGAAAAGTGTGTGCGTTGGGCAAGGACTCGAAGTCAGCGTGGTACGAAAGTGGGTACGCGAATGCCCCTATCCTTTCTGCCCTCACCCCCCTCCCTCTTACCCTGTAATGCGTGTCCTGGGGTGGTGTGAAATTTGAAATCGCAGGTGTAAATTGGATTCTGAGTGTTTGTATGTATGTGGTTGCTTCTGTTTTGTGTGTGTGTGTGTGTTGTGTGTGTGTGTGTGTGTGTGGTGTGTGTGTGTGTGTGTGTGTGTGTGTGTGTGTGTGTGTGTGTGTGTGTGTGTGTGTGTGTGTGTGTGTGTGTGTGTGTGTGTGTGTGTGTGTGTGTGTGTGTTGTGTGTGTGTTGTGTGTGTGTGGTGTGTGTGTGTGTGTGTGTGTGTGTGTGTGTGTGTGTGTGTGTGTGTGTGTGTGTGTGTGTGTGTGTGTGTGTGTGTGTGTGTGTGTGTGTGTGTGTTGTGTGTGCTGTTGCTATTGTTGCTTAATGTTGTGTCATGTGCTGTAATAATATATTTTTATCATAGCGTATTAAGTCTGCAAGTGAATACGTGTGTGCATACATGCTCTCCCAGCATACGAATATACGAGTGTGCGTGCGTTTGTCTGCGTACAAGGGCGCGTCCCAAGGCGTGACCGTGCGTGCGCCGAGCCGAGCGGGCCAGGGCGGGCGGGGGGAAACAGTGACACATGGCTTGCCTTTATCTCGCACCGGAAGGGATGCCGTGTGGCCCTCGCCGCTGGCACCCACCGACGCGAGAGGCGCTGCGGAGACGGATCCCCTCAGCGCCTCTCCCAGGCTCCCGCTTCCTCTCTTGGTATCGCTTTCTCTCGGTAACTATCTGTTTTTTTCTCTTTGCTGTCTTCCTGTCTTGTTAATCTTTCTCTCTCTCTCTCTCTCTCTCTCTCTCTCTCTCTCTCTCATCTCTCTCTCTCTCTCTCTCTCTCTCTCTCTCTCTCTCTCTCTCTCTCTCTCTCTCTCTCTCTCTCCCTCTATCACTCACACTCACACGCATGCACGCACGCATTCACTCACATTCACGACCTACCTAACCATACCCCCATACTTTCTCTCTTCCATTTACTCATTCATTCATTCACTCCCCATCCCGTCACTTCCCCATCCTTCTTTCATTCATCTCCTTCATTCTTCCTTCCTTCCTCTCTCTCCCCCCCCTGCACCTTCCCTCATCCTCCTCCCTTCCCTCCTCATCTTCCCCCCCTTCCTATTTCCTATCCTTCTTCCCTTATCCTCTTCCACCCTTTCCCCCCCTCCCCCTCTTCCCTCCTCCCCATCCGCTCAAAAAAACAAATAAAAATAAAAAACAAAAATCAATAAAGTAAATAAATGAAATAAACGAATAAATAAATAAATAAATCATGCTTTAAATAGCAAACCAACGACCTCAAAACAACCAAACAACCACACTAGCTACTAGCCAATCACACAGGTATCATCAGGAGGGTTATTTTCGGTGTTGAAATGCGTCCACAGATAAAGGGGATGATCTTAAAACTTACCACCCACCTTCCCTTACTTCCCCGTATCCTACTCCATCCCTTTTCTCTTATTCATTTCCCTTACTATATTCTCTTTTTCCTTCTATACCCATCTCCTTTCCCCTCCCTCTCCCCAATCCTTCCTATTTCACTTCTCCATCCACCCCCTCCCCTCTCTACACACCCACCCTTCCCTCACCTCCTCTCAGTCCTCCTTCCTCTCCACTCCCCTACCCTCTCTCCTTCCCTCTCCCACCCTCCCTCTCCCTCCCCTCCTCACTCATCTCCCTTCATCCCCCCTCCCTCCCTCCCCCTCGCATTCATCTCCCTTCACCCCTCCCTCTCCTATCTCCATTCCCCCTCGCATTCATCTCCCTTCACCCCTCCCTCTCCTCCCTCCCTCCCCCCTCACATTCATCTCCCTTCACCCCGCCCCACCATAACATTCGAAACTATTTATAACACGCACAAACACGTATACATAAACCCTGGGCAGAATCAGCCTTGGCGAAATGACGGCATTCAGTTTTACCCAAATGCGACGATATTTCTGTTTACGTTATGTTACCCATCTTTCTGGCGTCGTTAGTGTCCATTCATCACACGCTGTAATTTCTCTCTGGGCGTGTAGGGTGAGCGGGGCTGTTGGGTGAGAGGGTGGGAGAGAGGCGCGAGAGAAGGGGAGAAAAGGGGAGAGAGAGAGAGGAAAGAAGGAGGAGGGAGGGGAGATGGAGAGATGGAAGGGGGAGGGAGGGTGGGAGAGAGGGAAGGGGGGGAGGGTGGGAGGAGGAGGGAAGGGGGAGAGGGGAGAGAGAGAGAGAG